TAAAGCCATGTTTCATCTGACCCCGTGTTTCAACTGGCCCCGCTCTCCCCTAATGGTTAGGAAATGAATTTAAGTTATCAAGTAAAAAGCAAAGGTATATGCAATTATACTTCTAGCACTTGTTTAATGCTGAGAAAAATGCAATTATATCCCGTTAACATAAAATCTTCATCTTCATCTTCATTAACAAATCAACATCTTCTTATAAACAAATCTTGTTTAATCGCCAACCATAGCTATTAGCTGTAGAGTAGTGAAACTTGCAATCAAAATAAACCATTATTTTTGGCATAATGAGTCAAAGCAAAAACCAGGCGATAAGAAAGAGTATCTTAAAAACAATCCAATGGGAAATTTTCATTGACCAAAGTCAACCTTCACCAGTCCGATTCACTCGTCCACCATACATTGACACAGACGCGACAGATATCTCTTTGTTGGCAATCGGTGTTCACCGAAGCCTGTTTGGGCTCCACGAGCTCTGACCTTGACATTTGCCCCGACACAAAAAGGTCGCCAAAAGTCGGCTTCATAAAGCAGCCTCGTAACTCGTGGTATCATAAACAGTATTCAGAAACAATGCAAGGCCATGTGAAAAAATATAAAGTTGGAACAGTTAATAAATATTTCATTAATTAGTATTAATGCACTTGCTAACATAAATGACCGATAGAAGACGTTTCGTTATGTAATGAGGATGGACCTTTTAAATCTCAAATTTTAATCGAACAAATGGATAAAGGCGCCCTAAGCATTTTACCAAGTAACGCATGGGGCCTAAATTTAGTTGGAGTGATATCATCGCCGAAGCTATCGGTTTTCTACATTATACCGGCTGAGATGGGGAGGGGGGAAGCCAGGAAGTGGAACTGGAGCCCCTCCCGTTTCGCCGTTACGCCCCCTAATTGAGATATTCCACCTAATTGAGCTAGAACCTCGCGGAAAAGCAAGCAACGTTACAAGACGCAGCGACTGGTACCTGATTCTAAGGTATCAGGTCTATTGGTGACCGGTCACGACAGGTCAGGTCACGTGCCCCAAGGTGTACCTAGGTTCGGTTTTTATAAATAACTTTGTCAAAAATAGCCCTAAAGCAGCAATTTTGGCACCATTATGTCTATCCTGTTCACGTGCGTCCAACAGCATGCTTGCAAAAGGTCTTGACATCAGGTCACGGCCTCTCAGGTCACTAAGCTGGTCGAAGGAGATCATATAACACACAGTGGATATAACATATAACTCGATCCCAATGTCTTTCTTAGTCCACTGAAGGGTCGGAGAGACCTAAATTGCACCGGCAACGAGGTCAGCAGGCGCTCATAGTAGAGGAGAACATAAAATAAAATTGGACCTAAGCGTATCGAAAGAGCCACAATCGATGGTTGGATGTCTCATTTCTTTGAACTGCACTGCCGCAGGTTTTGTGTTGAGATAAAAAGATGGGCGTTAAAAAAGGGGCCATGGCCCTAATGTTCACTGCCCTGCAATCATTTGTAGCGTTGCCCATGCATAGCACAGGAAACCAAACCAGTTCATTTTGTTTTCGCCTGGTCAGCTCTTACCCACTCATTGAACCATACAAATGCAATAAAAAGGCACATACAACACACCGACATTCCCGCACCCAAACTCACCTCGATGAAGCGATATCAGCACGAAAACAGCAGCAGCAACAATCAGCAGTCTCCGCGCACCCAACCCTCACAATCCACTCTGAGCACTGACACGCCCAGTCCGGCCCGCCGCCTGCTAGCGCGGGCGACCCGGCGATACGGGGGAAGGGAACGCTGATCGGCACACCAGCCAATCAGCGAGCCGGAGCCGGAGGCCGGCAGCGGCTCGCGCGAGCTCGTGCCGCCGCCCGCCGCATGGCTGTAGCCCCCGGCGGTCTACAGGCACCGGAAGACGGTGGGGTGGATAGGGAGGGAGGATGGGTGGGTGAGGTGGAATTTTGGTGGCGCTGGATGACAGTGAACGGCCCAGGAGTTACAGACCTAGCCGAAAATAAAGTGGAATTTTTTGTTTATTATCATTAGGTCCTATTGGAACTTGAAACTCGCCTCCTCTGCAGTCAACAGAGCCTGAACATCACACTTAAAGGTTTAAAAGTTTAAAAGTTTTGTAGTCGCAAAAGTTTTGGCTCGATTATGAAATGCATGAATATTTACGAGCTCCGCACATCGGTCACAGCTCACGTTTCAAGAACTACCGAACTACTCAATGCCTACTTAAAATAGATAAGATACTCTTCACTTCTACAAGCTACACTAATGGCTGAATAAGTGTGGATAGACGCTGGTAGCCGACGACCATTGCAATGATCGGTTCCTTCTCTGCACCTAAGTGCTAGATAGTAGGGGAAGTTGGGGCAATGCCGGAGTTGGGGCAAAGCCGAAATTCGAGATATTTCGAAAACCGTAAGATATGGATGCCACCTGTCAGTGATGCTCTGATTCTCTGACTACAATTATCGCATGTTTGTTACGAGTCGTCATTCGGAATACTTCGACTGTGAGGGCGCCAAGAGCGTTTTCAAGGTACGTTTCCCTTGTACTACATGCGCCTTTGAAGCTGCATTTCTTACTCATTATGCTACCGTTTGTCTGGCCAATTCGGTCAAGTAATCTTTAGCATGTCTTTGCATAAGTGTGCTGCCTATTTGAAATTTATACAGCACGTTGAAAAGTTATGGGCCTGCAAATGAAAGTATGGCTGGCTGGGGTAATGCCGAAAACGTGCGATTACGCACGTGTTAAAAGCACGCTACTGTAGAATAGCAACGCGTATTTTTAGTCAAACAAATTACACTTTCAGCCGACACAACGGCCTGTTACCTATAAGGAATGATTTACCTGGCATTTTCTTATTATATCACACAATTATAACTTCCAGTGTGCACCGCGTCCTCAAGCTCTTAAAACGCGTGTCAGCTTTGATGAATTCTGGATAAAGTTTGAGATAAAATGGCAAAACATCAATGTCGGCATTCCCCGTAGATCATTTCTCCCATTTTCGGCTTTCCCCGCAGTCCGGGGCAACGCCGAAAAAGTCACTTGTTTGATATTTTTAGTTTGTGCGCTTAACGGTATGCAAATTCATCAAATGCGCCTGGTATGTTTGAAAGGCAAAAGACTGGCCTCTCGAATGACGCCAACAAGAATAGCTTATGTTGTCTACCTTGCGTGCTACGGGCGTCAGAAAAAAAGTCTTCGGCGTTCCCCCAACTTCCCCTACCGATTCTATCCAGCACTCGGGTACAGGTCTAGATGTACCTACGGTAACTAGAGCAGATGACTTATCAGTGGTGTCTTCTCCCAGGCAGGACTCTTTGTTTGTTTGTTTTGTTAGGTTAGGCCCTTTCGGTCCAATCAGACCATTTCAGAGCCGGAAGGATGTGAGGAGTTAGGGGGAGACATTAGTCTGGGCAGGCACCCTAGTGAGTCACCGGGGCTGAGCCCATCCCGAAGGACAGGCCGACCAGCCCCAAGGTACTCACTGCACCCGGCTACGGGATGCGCTCCCTCGGGAGCAGCGATCCCGCTCCAAGAGAGCAGCCCGCATGAGATAAAGTTGCCTGTCCAGCCCGGAGGGAGTTGCGGCGTGGAGGAGAAGGATTTCTGTATCCTGAGGATAGAAGCACGGAACAGTGTGGCAGGACTTGGACGGTTCGGTGCTTTATGGTTCGGTGGCTCAGGGTGCTCGTCACTTCGTCAATGCTCGTAGGTGGCGCTGGCGTCGGGTCCCTTCTCCGGGACCACCTCGACTGTGGCTGAGGGCGTGCGGGCTCGTATGGTGGCGCTAGTGAGCGTTACCTTCTCTGCAGTCGGCTGGACAGCTGCTGTGGGTAGGTAGGTGACGCCACTGGTGGTGGCCAGATTCCCATTTTATCCGCTGTGCCTACTAGCATTTGTTAAATTTGTGTTCTTATGTCCACTGCTCAGCTCGTGAAGAAACAATGCTATTACGACGCATAAAACTTATTTACGCTAGAAGTGGAATTTAATGCGAGTCTGATACAAAGATTGATGAACTTGTGCCACTGCCCTTGTTTGGAATTCTAACGATTGATGTCCTTATCGATCACATAAGACAGCTCGAATCAATAATGCATGGTGATCGATATTTTTCGACAGCAAAACTTCTGTTATCAGTCGCCGTGCACAGACAGATCGAGCTGTAGGACGCGATCTAATCACCGCATAAGCTTTCCATATTCAATCCTGTTCGGGACTCGGGAGAGACGATGCGCGGAAGGGGTTATCCGATTCAACATTCAGTCACTTTGATGTCGATATTCTAGTCATATCTGATTCACATTTGTTTTCAGAGACCTATGTATCGCAGGGTTAGAAATGCATCCAACTACAAGACTACAGGCTCGGTGAGTTGATTTCCAAAAGATCGTGCCGAAGGACGGGAAGAAGCTCAAGATAGACATCTTTCAGCGTACGTCGGTCTCTGCGAAGATAAGACGCGGCGACGCAAGTCTCCATATGAAGCTGCTGAATCAAAGACAGTAAAAAAAAAAAACAGTTCCATTTGCATCGTTGGCTGGCCGCCATTCCACCACTGGCACTGTCTACCAACAGCAAAAGTCCGTCGTCTACCGTCCATCGTTCCACCGTCCACCGTCCCCCGTCCATCGTCCAGCGTTCACCGTTCACCCACGGTACCTACATAAAACACTTGTTCACCGTATATACGAGTGTTTATTGCGTTCACCGTACACCGTCTACCGCCCACCGTCCAATTTTCATCGGCCACCACCCAACGTCCACCGTTTACCCTTCTACCGTCAACTGTCCATCGTTTTCGATTCACCGTCCACCATCTACCTGTTCACCCATCAAACTGCACTTTCATTCACTGCCCATGTCTTTCACCGTTCATCGTCTTCCACCACCCCCATCCACACCGGTAGTGCCAGTCAGCTGTTGCTCTAGTTTGCATCTCCAGCCGCAGCCAAAAATAATCCGGGCCCGGCGGAAGGTGCTCGAGCCGACTCGGCGTGGTGCCGCGCCGCGTGGCACTCCGTCGGTAACGACGACCGGTGTGCAGTGTCGGTGCCGACGAAACGCGGAAGTGGTAGAAACTTCAAGAACGAACTGTCAACTGGGATTGTACATAAAAGGTCAGCTGTGCGGATCAAATAAAAGAACCCGAGAAGCGGAAATAGAGCAAGACGTGTAGGTGACGGGAATCGTCGCATGCCCAGAAAGCAGGTGAGGATTGATACAGCAGGAGCAAAACAGTTTCCATGTAGTTCAATATGCATCCATGCATGTATTGCATGCATGGAAAGTAATTTTTAGCAGCAGAGCTGCTTCGTCGTCCCTTCTTTTCGCTTCAGCATTCCTTTTTGTTTTGTTAAAACTTTTTTAATCAATGGATAAAAGTAAGACATGACTGGTCATCGGTTCGAAGTTTCTTGAAAGAAGTAAATTTGAAAGTGTACACTGTACCGGTATTAGGTATAAGATTAACACATTCGCCTATAAGACTGTATCTCGCCCTACAGGCAACCATGACATCAGACACCAATCCCAGCAAGAACTCTGGCTCCGCTACCAGTGGAAAGAAGCGAGGCAAGAATGCCAAAGGCGGCGCCGGCAAGGCAGCTAACAAGACGGTCTCGTTCAGTGCCAATCCCGATCCACCAGCCCAAGCGCCGGTGAATGGGGCTTCAAACGGAGACGCTCCCGTACCTGCGCCTAATCCGGCCTCGACAGAGACTGCTGGTGATGTGACCTCTAGTGCTTCTGATCCTGGAGACGCCACTGCGACAGCCTCGCCTTCTGCTGGATCCAGTGATGGTGCTGCTCCCTCTGACGGTGCTGGAGACGCTGCCGGTTCCCTTGACGAACCAGGGCAGGTCACGGAGGCAGACAAAATGGCCATCGCAAAGGCTGGATACAAACGTCTCTGTAGTGATGCCACACTACAGACCAAGAAGGACGGCTACTTTCGAACATTCGACTCGCAGGTAAGTGAATGACGAGCGTATCTAGGGCTGAAAATTTACAGAGACCAAACCCCGCTAGGTGAACCCGGCCCTGGCCGTCTCTCACTTAGATCGATGACCGTTGACCGCAGAGGACCTGGTCCGATCATCGCTCTAAACTCGTTTGGTCGTGCATAGATCGATTCAAATTATGCCATAAACTTCTTTAGTAGTTGTGTTGTATAAAGCGGTTCTTCAGAAACAAAAATGGTGCAACAATGCAATGCAATATAGACGGTGATTTGATCAACGCCAATTTTCAACAAACAATGATATTTCATGCCTACTTAGTAATTGAAGTAAAGATGAGGCATATATACAATAATTATTTGCTTTGCACTAGAATTCTCACCTAATCTTGTTTTACCAGGTGCTACAGAGTATTCCCGAGGAGAAGTTTGAAGAGTTCAAAAAACTTACGACAGACATGGAAAGAATTTTCTTCGTTTGGAACGTTCCGACGGTACATTCTACAGTTACGGTAAGTTATTGAGGAGAAATAGACGAGAAAACGAGAAGAGAGAGAGAGAGAGAGAGAGAGAGAGAGAGAGAGAGAGAGAGAGAGAGAGAGAGAGAGAGAGAGAGAGAGAGAGAGAGAGAGAGAGAGAGAGAGAGAGAAGAGAGAGAGTGAGACAGAGAGAGAGAGAGAGAGAGAGAGAGAGAGAGAGAGAGAGACAGAGAGAGAGACAGAGAGAGAGAGAGAGAGAGAGAGAGAGAGAGAGAGAGAGAGAGAGAGAGAGAGACAGAGAGAGAGACAGAGAGAGAGACAGAGAGAGAGACAGAGAGAGAGAGAGAGAGAGAGAGAGAGAGAGAGAGAGAGAGAGAGAGAGAGAGAGAGAGAGAGAGAGAGAGAGAGAGAGAGAGAGAGAGAGAGAGAGAGAGAAACAGAGCTAGCTTGTTTTGTGTGAACCACCGACATAAAATCAGTAGTCAAACCCTTCTGTGTAGCACAAGCGACGTTTCAAAGGGCATACACAATACACATGTTTCATGTAATTACGTACACAATAACACACCACCCCACAGGTGAAGCCGTTCTCTCGGAAGAAGTCCGCCACGCACGCCGAGCGGGAGAAGGAGTGCGGGAACCGCCACTTCAAGGAGAAAAAGTACCGCCAGGCCGTGTGTAGCTACAGCCAGACCGTGGTACGGGCGCCGCAGCCCGGCGATCCAGACGCTGGTAAGGCAACATGAAGTGCGAACAGATGGTCATGCAAGCTGGTTGTGTTAGTGCATGACTATCTACACGGGAAGAATGAAATAATTAGGTGTCATTTTCGCATATGTTGACATATGTGCGCCAGTGCTTTACTCGTTGGAGCCGGGAGGGGTCATATCGACTCGACACCTTTTTTTTAAACCCCACATCTGCTCTCCCGTGAATTTCCGGGAGGCACGAAAGATCTCCTTTTAAAAGTGTCCAATCGTCCGATTCTGATCAAATATGTGTGTTCGTAGGCCTGTTCTGGTATTGCTTTATCTACCAAGACAGACAAACTTGAGAAAAATCGAGTGATTGTACCTTTTTTGAAGGTCTCTAACCAACTTGTCTGAAATTCACCGGAGAACAAATGTGGGGTTTTAAAAAAGGTGTCGATATATGACTTGCAATTCCCATTTAAAGGTAGTGTGCCAGCTTTCTTGGACCGTATGGAGTTAATGGCCCAGATAAGGAGAACCGGATTTTTAGAACTTATCCATGCCTTCAAAACTCATGGAAACGTCTTAAATTCTTCAAATTTTGAGTACCCCAGTGCGAAATTCGCCCCGACGGGTTGTCGGTCGTACCCCAACCACATTTCACACCACTATGAACAATAAATGCACACACTGAAATCGCTATTACCGATATGCTCATCCAATCAAGTTTCAATAAACCCGTTCATCATCATCTCCTGCGGTTTCGAACACGCCTGTTAGGTGGCTTCTGATGCTCGTCGAGGTCGGAATTTCCAAATACGCGTGGTGCGTCGGGCCGCGCGCTCTGACTTCGGCCAAGAAAAATGCGTCAGCTGATCATTGTCATTTCTGCCACTTGCGTGTGGTGAAATGGGGTCATAACTTATAAGACGGCTTTTTCATATCAATTATTTTACATAAAATCATATTTCAAACCATAAATAATGTTCGACAGCCAAATAAAAGAAACAATACCAATACGGGCTTACAGTTTAAGGCTCGACATTGTGTTGTCTACGATTAGACAGCTGATAACTCATTCCCGTACGTCGTATGGTCGTAACACTATAATGACCTTTGCTTATTGTCACAAGTGCGCCGCATTCGCGATTGTTGCCCGACGCCTGTTTGCAGGTGAGCCCACTACAGTTGCTATACATATCTAAAAACCGAAAAACTTTTAGGCGAAAAAGGCACTATTCCAGGCCCATTTTTGATTTTTTTTGTGATATTATGTAAAAACAGAAGCTTCTTATCCTAGGAAAAATAAAATGGGAAATCTTTCAAAGGTGGCACACTACCTTTAAGGTTTCAAACCTTCGGATGTTGTTTGCTTTTTATGTAATTTTTATTTGCATTTATTTGTTAGCTTAGTTCATGTGCCTTGGCCTTTGCAAAGCTACGTCTACCAAGTACCATCCCAATGTTTTGATAAACTGAACGGCGGCTCGAAGCTTGGAATATGTCTTTCAAATCATCCTGGCCGTTTCCTTTGTATCTGACAGGCGACATCCTCAGCGTGGGCTACGCGAACCGCTCGGCGGCTCTGCTGCACATGGGAGAGTTTCGGCTGTGCCTGCAGGACATTGAAGCAGCGCTGGGTGCCGGCTACCCCGCCCGGCTGCGGTACAAGCTGCTCGACCGGCGCGCCACCTGCCAGCTGAAACTCGGTCGGTGCTGCCAGACCCGGACGGAGTGAGAGGCTGGAGAATTGGGTTTTCACAAGGCTTTAATCAGGGTAGAGCAAAATTTAGCGAATGAATCTTAAATGTTCTTGAGCATACATATGTATGAGTTTGATGATACTGATCAGTCAAACAACTCTAGCCAGGCACAAGCTCATCAGCTCAATATTGAAACGATTACAAAGTATACAAAAAAGCTACACACATCGAATAAGCTGTGCTGAACTATATTTGGCATCACTCATCAGTAGGCAATCATTGCCTTTTTCACAGGGCATGTAACAGCGGCCCGGGAAACTCTTAAAGAGTTGCCCGAGGCATTAAAAGAAGCTGATCTGGACTCAAAGAAGAGGGAAGTCTGGGAAAAGGATGTGCAAAAGAAAGCTGAATCCGCAGCGAAGATGCAAGATTTCAAGCCAATTAGTGAGTCCTTGCAGTTTTTATAACTGAAAGTAACCGATGATAAACTCAAGACTCCGGCCAGATAAGTCAATGCAAACCCGTTAAATATATTTTTTTGTAATTTATTCTTGCACTCAATTTCGCCGTTAGCCTATGCTTATCACATCACCTCATCATCCCCTCCTTCCGTCATCTAATTTTCTCCGTTTTCACCGCAGTGCTGCAGCAGGAGGAGGAGCTGCCCGCCCTGGAGTCCCGTAGCGACCATTTCCTCAGCGCCAGCTCAGCAGTGGACGTGACCTACAGCCCGGGGGAGGGACGGTTCGCCGTGGCCGCTCGAGATGTCAAACCTGGAGATCTACTGGTGGTGGAAAAACCGCACGCGTCCGTACTTATGGCGGAGAAAACCGGAACGCACTGCATTCATTGCTTGAAGAGGTGGGTTCAATCGCAATGGCCGCGCGATGGATGGACGCTGCCGATTCGCTACATAGTTCTTGTCTTCGAGAGGAATGCATATAGCTGGTACTTACTTCGCATGTTTATTGCATAGTGTTAAGAAGCTATTGCCGTCGCACGCCGGTAAAGGAAAAGCAGCCTTTGGTGTTTTGGTTTCGGTACCTACTAGTGGTGTCAATCGGAACTTGAATCTTCGGAATTCCGATTTTGTCCAATGTCCAATTCGGAATTCGGTTGGACAATGACAACAGGCTTTGGACAACTTTGGACAATCGCTTGCTACACCTCAACATTTTCATAAAATTATCGTGTTTAACATTGATTGGCTATTAAAAAGCCCAGCTTTCGATATGATTAACACTTTTGAGAGCTGGCAACGATACATTAACAGCAAATTAAATAACGGTGTTGAGTGTAAACTATTGCACAAATGTCGGACATCTTTGGACAAATGGCTGGCTTGGATATTTTTGGACGGACAATCGACGCCAGCATTGGACATTGGACGGACATTGGACACATGTTTTCTGAAATTGACATCACTAGTACCTACCGTTCGACCGTCAATGCGCTCCCCTATTCTTATGACAATTGCTATTATTGGAAGATCGACTATCCACATTCCATTATAGTATCGACTATTTATCCCCAAATAATTGTTCATTGGTCGATCATTGTCCAGCACATCGCCAGGAAATGAAAAGGATTCTGCAGCTTGGCGAAACGGCGGAGTTAAACCCTGCGGCACAGCATAGATGCAGGCGTTGTAGCCAACGCCATCTGTGAACAGGAATTGTAAGCACACAAAAGATGCGTATGCTTGCCTGCTACTAGATGGCGCTAGCTGTTAGCGCATGCATCTATGCTGTGCCGCAGTGTTCAACTGCTCCAGGAACCCTGTTCAGAGGGTGCACTGTGCAGTGTGCATTGTGCATGCATGATCTGAATAAGATGTGGCAGCTCACATTAAACTTATGACCGGTGATTAATTACGTTCAGCTGACTCACTTTTAATATCATCAGTTTCGAACCGTGCTTTCGCTTCACACTACATATATCTACCTACCTACCCCACCCATTCTCCACCTCTCCTTCCTCTGTTCACCCGCAGGGTCCTGGCTGCGTTTCCGTGCCGCGAGTGCAGCGGGGTGATGTTCTGCAGTCCGGCGTGCGCGGCGGCCGCCGAGCCCTATCACCGCTGGGAGTGCTCCATTCAGGACGTGCTGCAGGCCTCCGGCATGTCCCCACTCTGCCACCTGGCGCTGAGAATCATCACCAAACACGGACTCGAGTTTTTCCAGAAGGTATGAACTGTGACCGGGACGCTTCAGTTATGATAATAAGGTGTCTGTTGCGTTGCATGTGCGGTATGTTGTGGTCGACGGTCAGGCATTTCCGATCGTAGCTGTTTATGTTTGTGTCATTATGGCTTGTAAGTTGTAGCAACGGTTTAATGGGTAAATTGCATTTCAAAGTGTGAAAAAGTATGTTTATTGTTTATGACTGGACGAGTCCAACTACACGTGCATCCTTCCCTGAATCCCTATGCATGCGACTTATTCGGGACCTTCTCAGCCGGCCTCTTCAAATGAGCGTTCTACCAGTCTCTGCCAGGTCTGGTAAATCGCATAGGTATAGTGTGAATGATTACCTACCTTACGCGAAAAATAACGCTTTGCAAGAATTTACACTTACCGACCTTACCGACAAAAATTAAATTCACACAAATTTACACTTACCGACCTGCAACGTAATGACACTTACGTTGCATTAATTCACTTACCTCCCCTGTCGTCATGTCTGCACATCTCCGCAGCTACGTCCGGAGCTGGAGCGTGCCCGCGCGCCGGGGGACCGTCCCAGCACGGACAGCGCCGGAAAGCAGTACGACCCGGACAACTACCTGTCCGTCCACCAGCTGGTGACGCTGTCCGAGCTCCGCAAACCGGAGGACTTCTTCCACCGTACACTGATGGCCGTGCTGCTGCTCAAACACCTCCGCGTGGCCGGCTTCTTCGGGGAGGTGACCGAGGATGACCGTGAGTGATGTGCCTGTTTCCTGTGTTTCCTGTGTGTGCCTGTTTCCGATCTGTAAATTGAACGTTTGATGTTTTGGCTGGTGTGTATGTGTAATGTGCATTGGAATAGCATGTAGCATAGACCTCTGTATACTAATTATTTTAGCTAAGTAAATTATTTAGAAATATTTATGATATGCATCAGCGCTGCCGGCTGCGGGTTTTTTCCTCCAGAATAAGTCATAAAATACAACGGTCATGGTTTCCATTATTTCATCATCACTTCCATCCTTATACCGTGACCTGCAGTCGGGTCCAGCCGCTCTAACCTCACGTAACCCTCGGCGCAGCGGCGGACCGTGCGCTGAGCTCCGACGAGCTGCTGGTGGGCTCTCTGCTGCTGCACCACCTCCAACTTCTGCAGTTTAACGCGCACGAGGTCGGCGAATACGTCATGATGGAGCCCGGCCAATTCAAACAGAGCCGCAGCGTCTACATCGGCGTGGCCGTCTACCCGACCGTGTCGTTCTTCAACCACAGCTGCGAGGGAGGCGTCTCCAGGTTGGTGGTCTGGCTTTTAACTGCTCTGCGGCTTTCGGGATTTTTGGGTGTATGGAACAAGCTATTTCCATTTAATTATGTCTGAGCAACTAGCCAGGCGCTTTCTGAAAATGAGACCTAGCTCGCGAAAGTTGAATTTTGAGACAGAAGCTCTACAATCATCACCGTGTTCCGCGTCTTTATCTCTCACGCTCACGCATTACCTGATCACAGGTGTTTTGTCGGCGATACGCTGGTTGTGCACTCGGTTATGCCAGTGGCTGCTGGCCAGCCCATCTTTGAGAACTACGGGCCCATCTACTCTCACAAGGCAAAGCCGGACCGACAGCACTGGCTCAGGTGGGAGTTGAAAGCGTTTTTACTTTTATTCGCCTACTTTATATTGCTGTAAACGACCTTCTGACATAGAGCGTAAACCGATTGAATGAATACGGCATTTGAATGCAACTCAAATAAAAACTGATCTTTTAAAAAAAATAAAAATCATTATTACTTTGAATCTCCAGATCTCCAAATGGTAGCTTTAATGTGTCATCATTAAACCTATGGAAGCTATCTCAGTTCCTTGACAGAGGTGGACGGTCGTAAACTAATCGTAGCTGCGTATTTCGTCCGGTGTTTTCAGCTCCCGATACTGGTTCGACTGTCGCTGCGTGGCCTGTGAAGAGAACTGGCCCGACTACGACCAGTACGACATCAACACGGTCCTCCTGAGGTGCACTGGCTGCGGTGCCGGCATCGAAAACGACGCCTCAGGTACGAGAACGGGAGTGGAAAATGAGAGAAAAATATTTTAAAAAAATGAAGGTTCAAAGTTTACTTTTTGACTAGGATGACTGTATTAACTGCATTGATAAGTATCTCCTAGAATATTTGATACCTGATAATTTTTTGTTCCTGTAATTTCATGCGCCCGTCTGGCGTCTCTAATTGCACTTCGCATAAACAATAAGTGCTTATGTACTCAACCACGGCCTATTTGACGGTCTGTATTTTTCCGCTGCTTAGGCAAAGATCCGGTTGGCGACTGTCCAAAGTGTGGTAAGAAGAACAACGCAGTGGAGCTGTTCCGGCAGCTGCGCGGTGCCCAGGAGAACTATCACTCGGCCATGAACATGATGCACGAAGGTAGGAAGAATGAACTGCCGTCTGTCTCTGTTTGTCTTGCCATCTGAATGATAGGAATCGGCTCTCACGTACGGACGGCCCGAGGGCAGAGCACATAATTCTGAGACAGTGCCAGTGGCGCGATATGTGCTTCGGGGTATGAGTAACGTGAGAAAATTAACGCCTGGCTGGGCATTTCATGGGACATTACAGAACAGTTATCAGACGGCGGATTTCTAGCTGTGAGGTGTCAGAAGAGTGGGTATTCGTACCTACTACCTATGTGTTAGGTAGGTACAGTAGAATCTGCCTAATGAATCCAACTTGGTGACACGGCGATTTATTAAGCCGTGGCTTTAGTAACCGGGGTCAGTTATGTTTCCATTCCGTTAACACCTCAAGTGGCCACAATTAGCGGCTGGATTTATTATCCGAGGCAGTAGCGGCGGTACACCTTCAAATAGCGGAGACACTGTCGACTTTTGCTCCCATTCTTTCCATGCAACGCCCATAGGGCTATAGCCCTATTTTAACATTATAATGTTAAAATGCCAAAATCAAGGGGGACACAGTGCCCCGGTGCCCCCCCCCCCCCCCCCCGTTCCGCCGCCTATGATCCGAGGATTTATTAAGGGGATTCTACTGTATTGGTAAATTACGGTGCATGTGGAGGAAAATGTAATGGGTGTTTGCTGGAGCATGGCAAGAAGATCGATAAAGTTAAAGGAAATAATTAGCCATTACAAATCGCTGCCTCTGATCGTCTGTTTATGGTCTTATGTGGTTGGGACGAAGTTCAACTTGGCTATTTTCCAGCTAATAAAATTAGTAGATCGCATCAATTAGTACGAAACTGAATACAAATTCGTGAGACGTAGTAGACGAGACCGCATTGGCGGCAATTAATTACAACGACCCCCCCCCCCCCCCCCACTCCCCGCAGGCGAGCCGAAGAAGGCACTGCGCCTGTTCTACCGGTTCATCGAGCAGTGTCAGGAGCTGGTGGTGCGACCCAACCGCGACCTCAGTCTCTGTCAGGAGGCGGCCAGAATGTGTCTGGCTGCTCAGGGCAGCCTGCACTGCATCCGCCAGAAGAAAACCAATGTCGCCTGAGATCACCTTCGATCGGTGCACCGTATGATTGCATTCACTGAGTAGCTAGCAAGGACGGGCAGTGGTGTGTCCAAAGTGTGAATTAAGCTTTACTGTGGTAGTGTTTTTGTGATTGCTTCCCTTGGTGCTATGAATGAAAGGGAAATTTGGTGCCACTTTTTGATAGTCATGAGGTTAAATGAGGTTAAGCGATTCGAGTGTTTTGTAATGGCATCCCACAGCAAAATGAGTGATTTCAAGTAAAGAATGAGTGACTTTCGGCAGTCTGGGCGACTAGCTCAATTGCCAGTACTATAGCAACTTAAAATCGGCCGAAATTATTCACACATAAACGTTTATTTTGTGCGTAAAGAAAAAAGTAATGCTTATCTAGACCGTTTAACATTGCAGTGATCAATTACTTTAAACTGCTAACGTGGCAATGCATAGTTCTATAGCGAGCTTTCCTTGAAATAAACGAGTCTGATTACCGTGTAAAATGAATTGCTTCTTCACAGCTAATCATTTGACTGGTCGGTCGAACGAGTGATATATAATATATATAATAGCAAATTTGTATCGTGCAGTGGATGCCCAATGTCTCAGACGTTGTATCTTTTGATACACCCTGTAACTAGCAAAGTATCTGGTGTGCAATTTGCAATAAACGCCCACTGCCTTCACAAGTTGTATTAACCCTTCTGCAAGTTTCATCACTTCTGTGCTCTTGTACTCGGGCATATACCAAGTGACTGAAAACTTGATACCTTCACTCTGAGCACTGACGAATGCCGGACTCGGGGCAGTTGGCTAACGGAGACCTGTTCGAGCCGGCTCCCAGTCGACTGATCCCGTGCACGGATTCTCAACTCAGTGTATACGAGAACCTCGTGCCCTCAGTCGGGCATCGAATTCGAATGCCTAGTGACTGCCTGCCACGGTCCGCCAGCATCCGGGTTGGGGCCCACTCGGAGCGGATGACGCCCTTCTGTTGTTGTTCTACATATGGACCCTGGATTACGCCAGCCCATGTCCCAGCGGATTGGAATGCTTGATCGTGCTGTTTGAAGCCTGAATGATCGATCTGCTCAAATTCAAAGTTGCGCGCCTCGGAAAGGGCGTAAGCTTCGAACTTTTATGACCAGAGGTTATATGATCTGTCATCTGCGTATCAACTCCAAGAGTAGGGATATGGTTTCGCTACATACACTGCTTCATTCAGCATGTTCCACGTGCCCGGTTTATCATAACCATTCGTAGGTCTTCGTAATTTTTGTGATTGTGTGCAATATTCGGACACGAAAGACGAAGGTCGCCAAAAGTGTGACATGCCTATAGAAGGTATGCACTCCGATGGCCGTAGGCGTCGTAGATAACTCCTTGAAGATTATGTATGTATGAAGGCCTAGAAACGATGGGCAGCGCCGTAACGCCAAACTATGTTTACAAGGAAAACGACGGCACACCCGCAAAAAGATCCGATTAACTTTCTGTATGAGGACTGAGCAGTGTATTTCATGTAGCAATTCATGAGCACACGCCACGTCATGTTTTTGTACGTTTTAAGCAAGCCTATTCAAAAACTTGAAAGTAAAAACGAGTCATTTCACGCCGTGGCTACCTATAAATACACCATTTTACCACGCCCACATCAGTCGAAGTGGTTCCGCTACACAGCATACCATTTGTTAGAATGATCGAGAGCATACGCATCAGACTTCCGAAACTCTTTGTAGCACACATACTTGTGCGTCGCGAAGCAGTCGTAATGAACCAGCGACTTGGGATAAGTGGCCTGGTTGATGGCCACGCAGTCCTTGCCGCGTTCCCATGTGTCCAACATGGGCTCGACGACGTCGTCGATGTCCTCTGTGCTGGAGCCGTCAGCCCAGGCGTACGAGGTGTTCTCGTTGTGTAGTCCGGTCCAGAAAATGTCTGCTCCCGCCTGAATGAGTAGGAAGGTCACCAGGTCATGATCGTGAATAGAGACGAGGTTAGCGTCCTGGGTGGAACAGTTGTACTCAGCGGTCGTCCAGACCTGTTCCTCCGAGCTGAACAGGTAGCAGTGGCCGTCAAACTCCTGCCATCCTTCGGTACAGTTGGGCGGCGTGGGAGTCGTTGGAGGAGTTTCTGTGGGGATCAGCGTGTCCTCGTAGCAGATGTAAGGCATCACCTCATCCCCGTCGGTGAAGTGAAACATGCCGTCCTGAGCCGAGATGTAGCCGTACATAGCGCTGGACGACTTGTTGACAATGAACTGATTGAGCTCTTCGTTGTACGGGCTCTCGTCAGCCCAGCTGAATGTTTCGCCCACGTGGAAAAGGCCGGTCCAGGCGTCGGCACCGCTCTGCTGTACCAGCACGGACATGGGATAGAAGTGCAGCGGGTCCTTCACAGAGAGAATATCTCCGCCGAACGTCTGACACTTGACGAACGCCATCGTCCACGTCTCGTTGGCCACCGTGCTGTTGTCGCTGCTGAAGAAGTAGCACCGGTTGTCCTCCAGACCCAGGTCTTTGAAGCCCTCAGAGCAGTTTCTGTCTTTGGCCAGCGCCAAAGGCGCCACAGTGGCGATGGCCACCAGTAGAAGCAGCATGGTGGGCGACCGCCGGAGCCGGGCTGTGGACTGACATTGGCGGCGCGGGGTGGCTTTTTTTAACGCCGGTATAGTCTGGGAATGTAACAGATGACGCGGAACGCCACGAACAGATAGATGGGGAGCGTCTGGTAGGTACCGGGAATGGCGACTTCGGAGATGTCAGACAGGAAGACGTTGCGCAGTATAGATTTTGTTACACTGGGAGTATAATTCGTTTCGTGGATATCACTGTCCGTCTTGTTTCAGGGAACCCGCTCAACACTCTAATTGGCTGTAGAATGTCACATCTATAATAACGACCATTTCGTCACATGACATAGGTGAGGTTACCCTGAACCGTTCAATAAATCGGTACATAAATGTGAGACTTGTTGGTTATCTTTGTAGGCATTCGCTAGTCAAACCTTAAAGAAACATCAGTGCCGAAAAATAATTCCAGTTGTCTTCACTCTTCATCGTATGCCTGCGAAATCAAATAATTTGTATGTCCACGGACCGTATGATTGCCCGTATGTAGGAGACATGTAGGAGACAATCGACATGTAGGAGACAATCGACAACCACCGTTCATAAATTTAACCTGTAACGCCTATTGGTACAGTGCCACTCATTACTGTCGTGATATGGGCTCCTTTGGTGTATCAACTCGTCTGCTGCCCAGGATCTCGATACCGTGTCAGGCTTTCATACGATCTCGATCACATCATATAACCGTCTCACTCTATCGAGACAACAAACACCAGATTAAAGGGGCCAGTATATTGCGATAATCTCATATGTAGGCCAATTTACCAGACTCCAGACCGATTGGGTCCCTGAATGTCCGGCAGCGGTCCAACATCAGACAACAGAACATTACGCCATCCGGCCGACCGATGGTGGGCCGCCGCTGGCCTGGAGTCGACGGGCGTCACCAGACGTCACCGAACGTCATCACGCGTCATCGGAGGACATCACGCGCCATCAGACGTCATCAGCGATCGCCGCAAACCGCCCGCAGTCGCCGCCACCGGCTTACGAGGCTGCCTTGGGCACGAACGACAGCACAATGCCCTCGCGAGGCCCGAGCGGCACCGCCTTGAACTGGACGCGGGTGCCGACGCCGGTGGCCTCGCTGGTAGCCTGTGAGCTACGCACGGCCACAGTGCCCTCATCGGCGAGCTGTTTGGAGCCGGCCTGGGTCAGGTCTGCCGACAGCGTCTGGTCGGATGTGTTGATTATCACGGCGTAGCCCGGGTTGCCGCTGCGTAGACGCATGAACGAGAATATCTGCCGGGGAAGGAGAGCGGCGTCAGTCCATATGGCTCTAGTCATAGCGGGGTGATTGAACACACACGACACACGGTATTGCTGGGACACATCAAGCAGATGATAGCTGTTAAAACGAGCCGTACCATTTTGGCAATTTAGGCAGCACTTATTACGAGCGAGCGAGCGCAGCGAGCGAAGTGAGTCTTTTCAATATAACGGAAAAATCTCAGTATGAGCGGCCCGGCCCGGCCCGGCCCGGCCCGGCCCGGCCCGGCCTGTAACGCTTTTGAGAGGCTTATATCTCAGCAACCGCTGGACCGATTGGCCTGCGGTCTTTTTTGTAGGGTAGCCCCATCCCTTCTACCCTGTAATTGACTACTTTTGATACATCTCAGTGACCGTCGTGGCACGTGCCACGTGAAAAGTCAAGGGTGTTCAAGCTGTTTTGCAAAAGTAGTGATTTTGAGAGGCTCATATCTCAGCAGCCGCTTGGGCGATTGGCTTGCGGTAATTTTTGTAGGGTAGCAGCATTCCTTCTACCAAAAATAGGATACTCTCGATGCATGTGGGTCACCCCCAGTGCACGTGCAAAATACAACAATAAGAGGTGTCAAATTTGTTCCCATTTTAATAACTCGGTAATTACTGGGGCGATTTCGCTGAAACTTGGCATACAGGTAGGCACCCACCAGACAATGCATTCCCATGTGTTGCGGTTAAGGTGCTACTGCACGTGCGCACGTGCAGGGGGCGCTTCCAGATCTCGAAAACGGCTGGGCTGATTGCGCTCAAATTTGGTACACGGTTGGGGACCAGTGAGTAGGGTGCCGTGCAAAAGTCAGTTTGGACCCCGTTTGCACGTGCGCACGTGCAGAATGCCGCTTCCAGATCTCAGGAACGGCTGGGCCGATTGCGTTCAAATTTGGTACACCGCTAGCGACCGGTTAGAAGGGTGCTTTGCGCAAGCCCGTTGGAAGTACCCTCTCGCCCTTCCGCACGTGCCGGTGCAAGGCTCACTATCTCGCTCGCTCGTTCTTCGCCCAAAAGGCGTTTTACTGGTACCTAAATATACATTATGTCAGTGGGATGTTTCTCTTACAAACTTGAGTATTCACATTCCATAAAGTATCACCGCCTCTCGTTCATGTAATGAAGTTAAACGAAAAAGAATTACTTCATCATGTTCCATCCCTCAATCCCTTCCTAACTGCATCTATCACACCAGACCTTTCTACCAAGCCTCCCACCAGTCTCACCTTATCAGAGACGACCAGCTCTGTGTAGTCGCCGGCGGTGAGAGACTCGGCTCCGGCGCCCGACCGGAGCTTCTGCAGAGCGCGGTACACCTTCAGGTGGCTGGTATCCGCCGCCAGCTGGGTCTCCACGTTCACCTCGCGATAGTTGGAGTTGACCGGTAGCCACGGCTCAGCCGCCGAGAATCCGGCGTGGGCCTCGGCGTTCCACTGCATCGGCGTCCGCTGCGGGTCGCGGCCGGCCTTGTCTTGGCGCTGCGGCGGAGCGATCTCGGCGTCCGTCATGGCCAGCTCCTCGCCGTAGTAGGTGACGGGCGTGCCGGGCAGCAGCAGGAGGAGCATGTTGAGCGCGTCGGCCGCCTCCTCGCCGACCCGGGACGCCACGCGCGGCTGGTCGTGGTTGCCCAGCACCCAGTTGGCCCACGTGTCGTTGGGCTGTGCACGGCGCCACTCGTCGATAGCCGACTGCAGACTGGTGCCCGTCAGGTCGGCCGATGACTTCAGACGCTCCACCAGCAGGAAGTTGAAGGGGAAGTCGGCCATGTCGGTGCCATTGCCGTAGTACTGCATCAGACGGCTCGTCTCGCCATATACCTCGGCCATCAGAAGCCTGCGCAGACGGCACGAGACAGAGGTCAGAGAAGGCATGGGGTAAGAGATACGAGATGGTGAATACAATTTCAAAGTACTTTTGTTTATTCCTGAGCCTAACAGAGACAGTTTGTGTGCAGTAACTGAAGAACGGACATTCAAAATATAACTAATAACGACAGCCAATGTTCTGATAAGTCGCAAAGCAAGAAAAAAGATAAAAGCGAACAGCGAACATCCATCAGCCCTGCTGTCGAGACCGTCGTTTCAGCCCCACCAGCCCGGTCGCCACGCTAACATCCACGCGTCACTCGCCTGTGCTCGCCGTCCTTGTCCTCGAACTCCTGGCAGATGCTGCGCCAGCCGGAGAGCACGTCGAACGTCTCGGGCAGGTCGGTGGTGACGCCCGTGTGGTTGAACGCGCCCCAGTCGGAGTCAGTCGTGTTGGGCAGACGCGGCTCGGTGGCGGCCAGATCCTCAGTCTCAAACAGGTGCTTCAGCGCGTCCAGCCTGCACCGGAAAACGGTCACCGGTTAAAAATGCTTTAACGGTCACAATAAATAAACACAGGATGTGATCGCATTTTTTACAATAATAAAGACGATCAGCTCAGCTCGATTCAGCGCTACGTGATCTAAAGGCTGGAACAATGTAGAAAACCTATCCCGCGTAACTCTCGCTCAGCTAGGTGAGAGCCTTTGTATCATCCTTCGATCATGAAAAAACCTAGCCGTCTTATTGGAAGTGTTGTTGTTTTGCACCAAAAACAAAGCTTAGCCATCGCACCTACAGCCGTCTCACCTGAATCCATCGACGCCCTTGTCCAGCCAGAAGCGGATGACATCATCCATCTCCTTGACGACGTTGGGGTTGCGGAAGTTGAGGTCGGGCTGCTGCGGCAGGAACTGGTGGTAGTAATACTGGCCGCGTGCCGCGTTGTAGGTCCAGGCCGACCCGCCGAACACCGACTGCCAGCCGTTGGGCGGGCCGCCGCCCACACCGTCCGCCCAGATGTAAAAGTCGGTGTAGTTGTCCTCGCGTCTCACCGAGCGCTGGAACCAGTCGTGCTGGTCGCTGCTGTGGTTCGGCACAAAGTCCATGATGAGGTGCATGTCTGCCGGTGGGAGGGTTACAGAACGTCAGACAACGGCTACGAGAAAAACAGGCAGATATTAACGGGCAGACCCACAATAACAGCCTGACTGCAAACGGGATATCATCTGTGACGGTTAATCCATTCTTCCGACGCCAGAAAACCAACAGCCAGACCCCTTAAATACAACAGACGACAAAAGTCATCAATCTGTCGATAGTTACTTCAGAGTCCAGAACACATCCACCAGTCGCATGCATTCATAGCTTTCAAACTTCAGACATTACAATCGCAGTTCAACAACTTCACTAACCCCGCTCATTCCCAGTTTCTACCCACTGGCCATCGCCCGCTGTTTCACTAACCTCGCTCCTTGGCGTCGGCCAGCAGGCCGTCGAAATCCTCCATCGTGCCGAACAGCGGGTCCACGGCGCGGAAATCGGAGATGTCGTACCCAAAGTCCTTCATCGGCGACTTGTAGATCGGAGAGAGCCATAGCGAGCGCACGCCCAGGTCCTTCAGGTAGTCGAGCTTGGTGCGAATGCCTGCCAACAAGACGGCGCGTTACTGACAGGTTCACAGCGGAGAGGAAACTGGGAGAGGAAACTGAAAGCGAGTCAAATGTAAGGATACATCCGACATAAGATCAGAAAGGCATGGGTGGGACGACGAATACAAATACCGCTCACTCACACACGTTTTGCTGTGTTATCAACATGTCATGCTCTCGAACATCCGCAGTGTTTCAGGAACTTTGAAGGCGGGACACGGACATAATTGACGAGTGAATAAGTACGATATATTCCACATCACGCCTCGCCGTTTTTTTTTTCCGAGCAAGGCACAGCTCCACCCTCCCCTCTGGGGGGGGGGGGGGGCGCCCCATCCCCCGGCTGGTTCGCCCCGATTACCCCCTCCCCGTTCCCCACTGAGGGTGATGACCGCCACTCCCCGACCCCGTTCCGGCCCGTTACCCTCGCCCCTCCCTCCCTCCCCCGGGCTGGCGGACTGTGATAACAAAACCTATTACCAGCCGGGGCACAGCTGCGGCGCAGACGGCCCCAAATAGACGGCCCACGTCATACAGTACACCAACGCGACGCTGCCTCCGACGGGACTGGGGCGCGGTCGTCGCAGTAGGGGAGAAGGGAGGGGTGAGACAGAGGCGGAGGGGGGGGGGGCGGAAACAGCCCACTGCTAGTGACGTCAGCAGTCCCGGGGGCGTAGCCGCTGGGGGGAGGGGGAGGGTCGGGTTTCTGAGCCGCGTAACTCCCCGAGCTGCCACCAGGCGGCGACCGGGGAGTGACGCTCCGAGAGGAGGATCGACCCGGGCGGGGCCGTCGACGCTGTAACCGGTTTGAACCGGTTTCCCAGGAGCCTCGTGCCCGGTGAGGGCAGCACGTTAGGAGGGAAAGGCTAAGCGTCATCAATGTTGCATAACCGAATCGGCGCGTAAGACTAAATATCATTTTGGCACACCAAAAAAGAAAAACTGAACGCAAATGAATGCTTATTGCTCATTTTGATTCAGATCAAAATTTAAAACCCCGCTGCTATCATTTGTTGCACATCGGTTTTACAGACTTCGAACACAAAAGTTGAAACGAAAGAACCATTGATAAGGCTTCACTTTAGTCTGTAGCAGACTGCAGGCACGGACGCTGGACGCGCGTGGAATAATAATTAGCTCTCTCCCTCTCCTCGACACCCTTCCCTCTACCCATCCACCGACGCCCTGCGCTCTCGCCTCCCTCCCTCTACCCTCCCGGCACTCACCAGCCACGTCACCAACACCGTCACCACTGTCGTCGCTGAACGAGCGCGGGTAGATCTGGTAGATGGTGTCCTTCTGCCACCAGTCGAGCTTCTGAACGGGCGCGCACTTGGGGCCGAGCACGACAATCACCACGGCGACCACCAGCATAGCCAGCCAGATCAGCCAGAAGACAGCCAGCAGCACCCAGCGCAGACGCACCCAGAACGGGTCGTTAGCATAGCGCATCAGCTCCTCCTTGGTGAGGCCGCAGAACTCGGGGGCGCCCGAGTCGACCCCCTCGACGTCCACCTCCGTCTCGCCATTTGCAGTCTTCTCCATGAGTTCTGGTGGCTTTTCTCCGGCGGTGAGGGCGCGCGCCTCGTTCGGAGGCATGCTCTCGTCGTCAGCTCCGGCGCCGTTCTGCAGCGGCTCACCGCCGTCCGCGCCCATGTTGACTCGGTGGCGTCGTGCGGTGTCACGTGTGTGTGTCTATTCTTGCGGTATGCGGCGGCCGCGGCTGATGTCAGGCGAGCTCTGGCGCTGCGCCCGCTCCCAGGAGGCTCCCCCGAGGTCGGCCCCGCGCCGGCGCAGGGGCGGAGCGAGGCTGACGACACGGCCGGCGCCGCGCCGTCAGCGCACCGGTCGATGGCGGCGGCGGGGGCGGGGGCGGGGCGAGCACAGCTGCCGCTGCGCTCCCTGACTGACGATCGATTGCCTGGCCAAGCTAACTGTCAGAGGCGTCACCCCATATGGTGGGCGTCGCAGCCGTCCCAACCGTCCCGCCCATCCCAACCCCTTACACAGTGCGCCCGCCGCCGCCCCTGCACCAGGCCGGCCGCTGATGAATTCAATAGACCGAAACAAGGCAGCTCGGCGCCGGTCGGGCGGCGCGCTGGCGTAACGACCGCTGCCGGCCGGCCTGCGGTCCATCACAGGGTGACGGCTGACACGGGGGCCGTAACGGGAGGGGTGCACCGGGTCAGAGTCCACGGTAGGAGCCGACCCCAGTCACGAGAGGGGTAAACAGAGTCCGGACAGTCGCCGACCCAGCGACCCGGCCGGCCGGGCACGCTACTCCAGCGGCTGCCGGTCCCGTTCCACTCGCGACGTGCCACGCCGCAAATCAAAGGACAGTGTGCTTTTCCATGTACCTATGCTCATCCAACGTTCGCTCAAGGAACTGATGTAGGGAAAATCATAAAACCATACCTGTAACGGAGATCCTGCGCAGCAATATGTCCATTGTACACCTACCCTGAAAATTTCATGGCCCTGCCCCAAATGACCTTTGACCTGTGACATACTTTTTGAGACCATATTTGTCCGGAATCGCAATTCGGTATGTGTCGGCTAAGCCACGCGTTCGCAGTCTCTTTGTGGTTTCAAGCGTTCAAACATGGGATATGATGTTGCTCCATGCATTAAGGTGGTTGCCAAGGTCACCTGAAGGTCAGGTCAGATCAATGACGATTGGTGACCTCGGTTCACTTTTTCGAGTTTTACATGTTTCTAGGCTAGCTTTTTTCAGCGAATTTAGCAACCAGTTGAACATTTACAACGTAGTTTTGGTGGCTTCGTAACATATTACGAAACTTCAGAGGCGGTTGACATGACACCTGCTACGAATACCCGGCAACCCCTACTGGTTGACATGACCTGGCCCGACCCGACTTGACCTAAATACATGAAGACATCGTCTCTGATAAAACTAACATGATATTCGTGATCAGCACCCCGAAAACTCCATTGCAGCCAAACTTTACGACGCTCTAACAGGTCCCGATCTTCCCGACTTTTGAGTCATTGACCTGACCTGGAGGGTCAACCTAGGACCTTAAAATTGGGTATCATCGGCTTCATCTTGTCACGGGCAACACGCTAGTTTTTTCCGCGAAGCTCTAGCTCCATCATGGGCGAAACGGCAACGGGGGTCCAACGGACCCCCCCCCCCCCCATTATGCGTTCGCGGCTGGTAAAACACCAATACGGGCGATGGTGAAGATGTTGCATAGATGTGGCAAACACAATTTTGTTATCTCGGAACATGAACACTGAAATATCAGGCATAATTGACCGAACTTTAATAATGTTCGTCCGTTAGAAGATTTGCTTGTTCCGAAATATAGACAAAGACTGGGATGACTGGGAAATGAGGTCCTATTACATAGCGCACCGATAAGACTAGCCGAGGTGGTCGCTGGCCTAAGGCTGCTATTTTTATCCTTACAGACATAGGTAAGCGCACAAAAAATGACACCTCCACTCCCCCCCCCCAATAAAACAAGGTGTGTGTGTGTTGTTAAAGCTTTTGGGAACCCGCCCCTATTCTGACTTTTCAGACGCCCAATACACGATGCACGTCTCCAGTTGATACACGTTTCTACACTGGTACACACCAGTGTCACCCACCTGGCAAATCGCCGACGCCGTCCCCGTTGCTGTCACAGAAGGAGCGTGGGTAGATCTGGTAGATGGTGCCCGTCTGCCACCAGGCGAGCTCTCTCGGCTCCTCCCGAGGTCTCTTGATCGGTCTCGCGACGGTCGTTGCGTCGGCGGTCCTTTTGGCTGCAGGGGCCGCCGGTAGGCCCCGTCGGCGGCGGCGGGGACGGCGCGGCATGGAGCCGCCAGCACGGGTCGTCAGCTCGCAGCAGTAGAGCGGGCGGCGGCGGCGCCAGCCCTGGAGAGCGACCGACGCCAACCCAAACCGCCGCAGGCCATGGAGGACGGTCCACCTGGCGGGAGACCATACCAGCGCACAAGTAACTGTCCATAGGGTTAAACATAGTGCCTGTCATCAACGGCAAAAAAAAAGGTCGGCGGTCTATCGAGCCAGCTTGGGCGCAGCAGGATCTCTTGAAGCCTTGTCAGATGCCAGCGCCACCTACAGAGTGACACTGTAACTAGCAGTTCACCCAAAGGCTGGGATGTGTCGGCGCTGGCCACTGGCCAGTGCAGTGGCCAATTCATCTTGGCGTAGTACAAGTTATTTTTTCTTCTATATAGTAGACAAATTTTGTTTGAACTTTTTCAGTAAACACATTTAATGCAAAAATTGCATAAGCTTCATTTTACCGGCATCTCACTCCTCTCATCAAGAGCTCAAATGGTGTGTCCCATTTGATCCCAAGTGGTATCGAAATGGTTTCCATATGGAAGAAATTCCCATTTGATCCCAATTGGTGTCGAAATGGTTTCCAAATGGAAACCCCATCGCCCAATTAACCCGTGCTGTCCTGTACTGTTGCGGGCACGAACTTGCACCGGGCCGACACCGTCTACCGGTTCTACATGGGTCCAGAGGGGCTGCATGCCTGCATAGCTACGTTCTGAAAATTCTGCTCGCCACGGAAGAAATCTGTCGAAACAATAAATAGCAACACCGAGCGGAATAATATTGTATCATGTCGTTCATTGTACCTATGTGAAATGGCGTACCTATGGCCCAGTGTAGGGGAAAGTGGGGTAAGACGGTCAGGGTAGGTAAGACGGGCACCCCTTCTGCAGACCAAACCAATAGCGCTACGAGCAAGAAAAGTTAGGACCAGAATTGCCTTTCCCACTACACACCACCATTCAAGTCTGGTGAATTTGTGTTCAGTCGATAATCTTTTATTTTGATTTCTTTAAAACACTCATTTCATTGAAAACATCCATAATGTATTGTGCAAGCTTTTGTGTACAGCACTATAGAGTTAAAAACTCGCAATCACTTGTGGTACACTCATATGCCAACAGTGTTCATTTACGGCGGATTTGCTTTGTCTGCATCAAATTGTCCACAGCGAAAAATCGTGCTGAACTTCTGACATTGAGTTTGGGGTAAGACGGGCAACTATGAACCCAATGGGTCTGTAATGGTGAAAATATTTTTGTTGCTGTAGGAAAAAAGAAGCATTTCTAATAAGAATATGTTCGATTCCGATACTCACAGACATGTTAGCAATATTCCTTCGGCACAGTTTATTCTCGAATAATGAATGTGAAAAACGGTTCTACATGGCTTCTGAACTAGGGCCTATATAGGAGCATACGCCTTCTGCACGAATCTCGTATACTGCCATTTCCGAAGCACTTGAGACCAACGAGCGACTGTATAAATGCGGCTAATCTCGGGCATTTGTTGCGAGCTGCGCTGATCGGTGAAAGAAGCTGGCCGTCTTGCCCTACCCATGTGACCGTCTTACCCCATGGGGTGGGGTAAGACGGGTTTTTGCAAGGTTTTGCAAAAATAGCTGCAGTTTATTTGTTGAATCAGGTCTAAGTCTCATCTTCTGGCAAATGAAAGTAAAATGTCTGAAAAAGGTTTTCACCCAGTTTCCCGTTTCTATGATGTTTCTAACCGGCCGAAAAATGGCTCCAAAGTTAAGGTGCCCGTCTTACCCCACTTTCCCCTACTACATTGTTTAAAAAAAAAAAACATGTTGATACTCGTAGCAATCGCCTCATCGATGTGCAGTGTTGACCAATGTAGATAATGTTTGTAGGTAGATGCTGAATGCTGATGCAAATGTACGAGTATATGCTTGCAGAGTAAAAATAAATAAAAATAATTCACGATGCAGTTTGTTATTTTGTGGACGAAATGCATGGACTTAAAAAAAGATCTTCAAATGGTAATCCAGCTGGGACCATTTGAAAACCATTTCAACTGGGCATGAAATAGGTTTAAATGGAAACCATTTGGTAGATTCAAATGGTCATGAACTGGATTCAAATGGATTCATGAACATTTGGACACATTTCAAATGGTCTTGAAGTGGATCAATTGGTTACCTATTGGTGACCATTTCAACACATTTCAAATGGTCATGAAGTGGTATCAATTGGTTATCTATTGGTGACCATTTCAAAACATTTCAAATGGTCATGAAACGGGATCAATTGGTTACCTATTGGTGACCAATTGGACACATTTCAAGAGGAGCCTCTTTGGGACCATTTGGAAAAGTGTTCAATAAGGCCATTTGGTAATCTCTAATGGTATTTTTACTGGGTCCTCTTCAAAAATAGTGGCATGGCTGCTGCCTCACTGACCCCTTCCGTGCCAATGATTTTATTTTCTGCATTCACAGGCGAAGTAACTTGCTACATGGATAAACGCGGAAAGAGTTCCGACTAGCAGCGGGTCGTGCTAGGGCAGATAAACAAGTTCATCAACGAGAAAATCCAAGACTTACGCCGCAAGACAAGTCGTGATCAGCGTCCGCGAGGGCTCGCTCCGGAGACTGAAGTTAATGTGGTCGACGAGAGTGAGTGAGTGAGTGAGTGAGTGAGTGAGTGAGTGAGTGAGTGAGTGAGTGAGTGAGTGAGTGTGTACGCCGGTGGAGAGTGAATGAGAAGTCATGGAATAGCCTAGACTTTTGGATGATAATAAACGGCTGCCAACGTGTGTGGCTTTCGTGTCTGGGAATCGCTGACGAAAAGTTTTTAATGACAGGCGGCTGAAAGTACTCCAGCGAAGATCGATGGTGGCAGCACCCCTAGCAACCATGACGGGTTAATTGCTTTCATCATTTCAACACATTTGGCAACCACTTACACACGTGTCAAATGGCGCTGTTAAGGTATCCAGCTAGGACCATGAAGGTCACGGTCCTGATGCCTAACGAGATGGGGGACCGGCGCGACATCGTCGTTCGCGAGCGCGGCGGACAGCTGTTCCGCATCGACGAGCTGAGTCGCCAGTACGACCCGCTGCTCTATGTGCTGCTCCACCCGCGCGGCACGGACGGGTGGTCGCGCGAGCTGAAGGCCGCGCGCGGGGTCACGATGCGTCAGTACGCGGCGTTCCACATGCGTTACAGACCGGACCATTTCAATATCATTCCGCGAGGCGGCCGTCTGTTCCAGCAGTACCTGGTGGACACTCAGGCTAAGGTCGAGTCCGACCGTCTGTCGTATATGCGTGCGAACCAGGACGGTTTCCATGGCTTCCACGCAGAGACCATTCGCGGCGTGTTTGTTTGTTTGTTTATTGGAGCTTTAGGGCGCACCGACTACTGGGGTCATTTTGCGCCCATAACGTTATACTAGTAGAGCAAATATGTCAAAAGAGAGAGCCAACTAGAATCAAGGACTAGAAATCCAGACTTAATAAAAAAAGCGCTCGCTGACAGAGAGGAGCACGGCCGGCGCGTGGTGCTTCCGGCGTCCGTAACGAGCAGCCCACGCTACATGATTGCCAAACTACAGGACGCGCTCCGCTAAGATCGGGACTTTGGCGCGGCCGACTTCTTCATCACCGTGGCGTGCCACCCGGCCTGGCCAGATATTGAGCAAACTCTGCGCACCCTCTACCCGGGGGAGAGGCCGGGCGGCCACGATCGGCCGTGCGACAACCCTGACGTTGTCAGTCAGGTGTTTGGCTTGAAGCTGCAGGCGTTGGTCAAGCAGCTGCGAGGCGGCCTTCTGGGTCGGCAGCGGACCATTCTGTACACGATCGAGTGGCAGAAGCGTGGCCTGCCGCACGCTAACATCCTGCTGTGGGTCGTGCCCGCTGACAAACCTCGCGCTCAAGACGTGGACGCGTGCGTGTGCGCTGAGCTGCCAGATCCAGAGACTGATCCGGAACTGCACGCGGTCGTCTGCACCGAGATGGTTCACGTATGAATAATAGGTGTGAATAATGGTTCACGTATCTCCGGGCGGTTAACAACGGCCGCCCGTCGCGCGACGACGCCGTCGTCATCAACCAAGAACGTCGGTGCCCGTCCCAATCCCGGACGACCAATGGCGACCGCGTGGCCGTCACACAGCCTGGTGATCACGCCTCCAAGGGCTAGCGGCAAGACAGAGCGGACGGACAGTCAAGGGGCGACGGGAATGGTGGCCGAGATTATTCGATAAATTCATTGTCGAAAATAAACTACGCAACCTTTTAAGTTCTGATCATGCGATCAGGCAAACCGTTTCCAGAATGTGCACTGATGGTACTCCGCTGACTGTGTTCTATCACGCTGGTTGAAGTCATTCATGATCTATCCGATCGTGTGAGTTATCACGTGTGTAGTGTCATTTATACGAGTGTGCCGGCTCGTTTGTTTGTTTATTGGGGCTTTAGGGCGCGTCGACTGCAAAGGTCATTTTGCGCCCATAACGTCGCGCTAGTAAAACAAGTGTTTCAAAAGAAGAAACTTTCTAGATATCAAGACTAGAAAGTAGAAGACTTTATAAAAAAGACAGGGTAAAATAAAACAACGCAAAAGCGTCGTAATAGACAACGGCTCGTATATCCAACCATAGTCCAAGTGCGGGCGGCCTGTATGTTAATGGAATATTCGACCGTAGTCAAAGTAGTAGCTGACGATCGCAGAGTGTGGCATTACATTGGAACGAAATTCACCATACCGGTGCCACGACATAATTACAATGCCGATGCCATGATTAGTGGTGTCAATCGGAACTTGAATCTTCGGAATTCCGATTTTGTCCAATGTCCAATTCGGAATTCGGTTGGACAATGGCAGCAAGCTTTGGACAACTTTGGACAATCGCTTGCTACACCTCAACATTTTTAAAAAGTAGTCGTGTTTAAAGGGACTATCCCACCTTCTAAAATGTTGTTAAAACCAGTTAAATTGTGCCCGACTTTATAGATTGGATGACCAGGAACACGGTTCTGGCATTTATTTCTCATTAAACATCTTAGGCTTCCCATATTCCAAACACAAACTTTCAAATATGTGACGTCACAGCCCAAAATTACCTCCTTCCCCAGGCCACATTACTGTCATAAAGCTGATTCTTTTTACTCTGTAGGCACCACAACAAAGTTCAGACCAAGTTTTAAGCGATTTTTCAACGAACAAACCCATTTAAATCAGAATGACTAAACGAGGTGACGTCACACTAACGGTCGCTCCATGTTGAAGATAGGGCCTTGTACAAGGCCCATTTTCAAATGAAGGGAACGAATTTCTTCAACACCAAGAGGCCGCGGGGGTTGCAACCTAGATAGATAGTGGTTTCTGAACCTCGCCGCAAACTTGGCTATCTCAACTCAAACCCCATGTTAAAGGTGGGATAGTCCCTTTAACATTGATTGGCTATTAGAAAGCTCAGCTTTCGATATGATTAACACTTTTGAGCTTGTAACGGTACCTACATGAAAAGCAAATTAAATAACAGTGTTGAGTGTAAACTATTGCGTAGGTGTCGGACATCTTTGGACAAATGGCTGGCTTGGACATTTTTGGACGGACAATCGACGTAAGCATTGGACATTGGACGGACTTTGGACATACGTTTTCTGAAATTGACACCACTAGCCATGATACGGAGCGAACGGGATAGGCTTAGTTTACGAACCACAACGAACGCCGGCGACGCAGTATCAGCGAACTCGCAGGGACGCGGGCAGGGGTGTGCCCAGGCGGCTGTCAGATCAGGAGTCTGACAGGGTAGCGGCACATATCAGGCAGGGTAGCGGCACAGTGGAGGCGCTGGCCAAGTACAGGACGTAAAGTTAGGCACATTTAGCCCACCTGGGACCCAGTTGGACGCCCATGACATACCCACATGTAGCCCAGCCCACATTCGCCCAGATGCCCCACTTCCAGCCCATGTGGGCCCCATTTGGGATGGCTGGCTGGGTGCAGAGGCCGCAGGGCCTACGGGTATATCAGAGACGTCCTGCACCTGCCGCTGCCGTCCGCCGCCACCCTGGCTCGATGGACTCGCGGGTTTCGTGTAACACCGGGAGTCATGGAGGCGGCGCTGGCCGTCCTCAAGACGGCTGCCCAGTGTCCAAGAGATGGACTCGCAACGCACCGAAGCGACACCTCGCCTTTCAGCACGGAGAAGACAGTAGAGGGCAGCACTTGTCGGACTCGGGCGACCGCTAGGCCCACGAAGAAAAACTGGGAAGTGTGCGTGCATAAAACAGGACGGGGTGAGAGCTCGGGGGCTCAGTCTACCCTCGCTCTCGGCCTGCCGACTGTTCAACGTGCTGCTCGAGCTACTCGACCCACTCCACCGCTACAATGTGAGTATTCACCAAAAAGCCCATTCTCTCATTTCCACTCTTCACGCTCACTGCTGCACTTCAGACCAACACTTCAGGACATGGCTCCACCCACACCATTTCGTCCGTTATCATGGAATCGGTAGCTCTTCTCGGTAAATATCCATCGGCATCTATAGAGCTCATTGCAGAATGCAGGTGGCATGAGTTCACACCGTCTACCGTTGGCCCTTGCTATCGGTGCTCCGTCAGTCATATCAGATTGAGATGCCTGTCTACATGTAGTTACATGAGACAGTACTCCGGCCGTCATAATAGTTGTCTGTATTTACGAGGGTGTTTGCTGGCGGTATAAACCCGCACTATTTGCTTTTCTGTCGCACTTGTAGCTTAGTACAATACATTAGGTGACGGGAGACAATTCTCTATCAAGAGGTCGGGCTACGAAAAGTGGTGACAAGTCAGAGGGAAAGAAAGAGGGGAACACTGAGATACACCATCGAACTCATCCACTCCGAGAACACATGCCACTCAAATTACACGAAGATTCCAACAGCGAACACAATCCCGCAACGCCTCCAGACGTTCGACCCGGTCTGGGGCGAACTGAGAAACGGAAATCACACACGGTCCGTGCGGTGCGCTGAACCCGCAGGCGGTCGGTATGAAAGACGGCCGCTGTAGCGTCGGCTATCCGCGCCCTTGTCTATTTAGATGCCACAGAGCTGATAGAGCGCACCTACCCAAAGTACAGGCGGCGCGCGCCGGAGGCCGGCGGTCAGCGTGCGCGGACGCCCGGACGCGTACTCACGCCACCCGGACGGCGTAGCGTCGAGATCGACAACCGTTGGATCGTTCCCTACAATCCTCACATCCTCCGCGCGCTAGACTCGCACGTCAACGTCTATGAATATATAAATAGGCCAGCCGTAAGGGCATAGATACGCTGACAATGCTGCCAGGCCGCCAGACCACTCCGTTCACAAATAACCCTGTTTCGTAAACGGGGCTGTTTCCACACACGCCGTTGGAGGTCGCCATCTGGCCCTCAGGGGCAAAAGGCGTGCCGCCGCCGCCGGGGCATTCCACGTCAAATCAAACACCGAAATCCGTCATCCCCTTCGATTTTTCTGAAAATTTGTAGGCAGACTGGGCATGGTTCAAAACTGAGTTACGTATAATATTTTCAAAATTTGATAACGTATCGCTGAGATATAGGTCATCGAATATAGCGAAAAATGCCACACATCAATTTTTTAAATGGCTATAACTCTGGTTCCTTTTCTGGTATCAAAATGATATTAACAGGGTCTTATAGGCAATTGATAAGGCTTTGATTTTTAATTATAAAATTAAATTGAAGTGACCTTGAAATGCATTTGACCTTGAATTAAAACAGAAAAATTTAAATAGCAAAAAACACGTCACCTTCGATTTGGGTAATTTTTACATATTATGTCCGTCACAATGTTCCTAACCATCTGTGAAAAAATTGGAGTGGGCCATTCATAACTTTCGCGGCAAACGCCGTTTTCATGCATCAACATCACGCAACCGCGCGTGACCTTGAAAGACAGAGTCAAGACATGCTTGCTTGTGTACACTTTCTGAAATGAATGATTGCTGATTAGTGATATCCCAAACTCTGCGAGAATGGAAATGCATAGTCATCGTAGTCAAGCATTCACGTTCCATAGTAAAAGTGTCTCAGGCAAACGGTATTTTGCGGTGAATTTTGAG